CCATAGGTTTAAATGTAATTGCCGTTAATCTGTGGTGGCGGCTGCGGACCACGTGTCAGGGCGGAAAAATGGCCGTACCCCGAGGCGGAGTTCGCACATGGATGTAAATTTTTGCGGCTGGGGCTGGTCGGAACCCGAAAAGTTCGTTAGTAGAGGCGTTCGTATCCCGAGGTACCACTGTACTTCTGAAAAGGAAAGTTTTGTCATTTTTCCCTAGATTCTCCACTTGATTGGAATGGCACTACAAGAAGAAAAACAACACATTGAGAATGCTAATGAAGATAATGTTGTGACATTTACGTTCGCTCAGAAGATTTCAAGTACGTTGCTACTTCTACACAAATTGCAAACTCTGATATTTCTTTTACCTAAAGTATAGTAAGATGCATTATCCAGTTTCAGAATATACTAGTTATTCTTAAAAACTTACTTTTGTTAAAATATTTGTAATAATAAGCTAAATAAAATTATCCATTTTATCAGGAGAATAAATAGAAGTCTGCAGTATATGGGCAAGGGTTTAGGAAAATACATCTTTCAATAAAGAAGGAGGCAGCAGGGTGACAACACCTGGTCTTACCTTGTTGCCAACTGCTTAAAACATCTTTAAGTCAAAGATGTTTTCCTGAACCTGCACTGCTCTTGTATGAGTTAGGAAAAGGCACAGCTCCTTTAAGGAACAGCTGATGGGTACGGAAAATACCCACATCGGATCCAAAGCACCCTTGCCCACTTCAGAACTGCACACCTCTAAGTACAAATATATAAATATATACAAACACAAATTGCCCTGTTGCTAATTGCAGATAGTTAACTATAAATTTGTACATAAGTTTCTTTTTGTAAAAATAAATATTATTCTCCTTTTCTGCCTAACAGTTGTCTTACTGTTGCTTTTTAACAAGTGCATGTAATGCGTTTTATATATAGTTATAACAATTATAGTTAAACATACATATATATGATCCAAATACATATATTGTTACCTGTAGTTCATTATAGAAAATAATAGATTTATCTCCATGTAACATTTATTGTGGTGTTTTGTCCCCCTTATTTATAAGTAATTAAATGGATGATAATTCTGTAATCAAGGAAGAAGTGTGAATAGAGGAGATCAGCTTTGATTTGTGAGAGATGATTTACCCATCCCTCTCCTAGAACAAGGAACAGTAAACAGAATGAAAAGAAGTACTCACTGGATCTTTGTTCCTCTGTGTTAAATGTATACAACCAAAATAAATGTAAATAGATTTCCTTTATCTTTGGTTGAAACAGGGCCTGGTGAGACACCTCGCAATTCCCCAAGCATATTAGCTATGCTAGAAACTTTGCAAAATGCACCCCAACTAGAAGTGCATAAAGACATGATCAGATGGATACTAAAGGTAAATTGTACTGTACTCTACTGTAAATTTTACAGTTTTGTGGCCAACATAATTTCTTAAGTAGCAAATAGTAACATAGTTTCTTGTTCCAGACTTTTAATACTGTTAAGAAACTCCAAGAGAGATCTTCTACAAGTCCTGTTTTGGAGACTGAGGGAAATATTATGGAAGAGGTAATATCAGTGCAAGGGAAAAGCTAGCAATTTGGGTAGTATGTATGTCAAAAGACAGATTCTAAATATAATATGACAATCTAGCCAGCAAGTAATTTTCTGAATTATTGTACGTTAATATGCCATGTGTCTAATATTTGTGTCAAGAGTTCTTTAATTAAAAATATTTTTAATCACCCACAGAGAAGAGTAGTGGTAGTCACAATAGGTAAGTAATGGTACATAATAAAAGCTTTATTATTAACTGATAATGATTGAGCTCTGTTTACCAAAGAGAAATTGATTTAATTAGGTGGCTTTACTTTTTAAAGTTTAATTGTGTGGAGCGTGAAGCAAAAGATTTAATAGAATCATGGCTCTACCATTCCTTGCCTCTTAATATAAAAAAAACCCTGTCAATTCCAAGTGTTACCAGGTTTTATAATGACTTGGTGAGAGTGAGCAAGCTGAAATTTAATTCCAGTTAGGGTGGAGTACAGTTAGCTGGTAGAGTTGAGGATAGTTATACAATTGTTTTGGAATAAGGTTGGCTTCCTCTAAAGGAATAAATTCATTGCCAGGGAATGCACTTTCAAATTCCATGTGGTAGTGGCTGCAAGGAGTATACTTGCACAATTGCACTTAACAAGTATTCCTGAGCTGAAAATATCTGGTTATGGTTAGCTTGTTGCAGTGTGTTTGTGTGTTTGTTGCTTGTGCAACCCTCAAAGGATCTCAGGAATTTTTATTTGGTACAAAATGTGACCACTAGATCATTAACTTGTGCACAGTTTAGTGATCACATTGTACTGATGCTGAAAGAAATGCATTGGATGCCATTTGTTTCTTGCTCAGTTCAGATAGTTCATTTAAAAACCTTGTCTATTTGAAGGTTTGACTGTCTTGTTGTGAACTAGCCTGAACATTAAGATTTGCAAAAGAAGCCTTACTTACAGTGGTCCATTGGTTGGGTATCTGGGAAAGGGCCTCCTGTTGTGTCATTCCCATCTTGTGGAACATGCATACTTTGGAATTGTGATTAGTCTCACTTTCTCTGCTTTCAGAAAAGGTGTCAATAGATCTTTCCATCTTTTGGATTGTTTAATATTACTTTTTAAACATTATTTTAAATGTTGCAAAATATAATGCATCCATAAAATTCTTTTATAGAGAGACAGGATATAACTTTAGTTTAAACTATTAAAAATAATTTAAGAAAGAATTTTCCTTTATGAATGACAGCATTCTTAAACAAATGAAGAATGGGAAACATTACTGTGTAAGAATGCTTGACTCATTTTGTCTAATACCAATTTAAGGCATGTGTTAAATGTATAAATCACACATAATCAAAGACTTAAATTATTAGTTGTATACATTTGCTGACATATTAACTTAATAGAGCTCACGAGATAAAGAAAAGGCTGAGAGAAAACGCAAAGCAGAGATTGCTAGATTGCGAAGGGAGAAGATCATGGCACAGATGTCTGAGATGCAGCGACATTTCATTGATGAAAACAAAGAACTCTTCCAGCAAACCTTAGATGAACTTGAAACTTCTACCTCCAGAGTGCATGATAATAGGTAAGATGAAAGTGTCAGTAAGCTCTGACAACCTAAATGTCACTTAATTTTTAAACAGGAAAAGTTCATTTAATCATTTTGCAGTAGCATGTCCATTAATACTCATTGCTAATTTCTTGACCATTCAATTTATGTTTCCGTGTGTCTTTTCACAGAACTGTTTCAATTGTGTGTGTTACTCACAGGGAATGCAATTTTGAACAAGTCTCTTTAATTAGGAGACTTTCACTCAGCTTTGAATAAATTGAAAGGTGTGATATAAGTTAAGTAATAAATTTACCCCCTTCCCCAATATTCCAGAAGTCCACCAACCATCCAGTACAGCAGAGGGATACAGCAGAGAGAAAAGAGAATTGGCAAAAGTTGTTTGTTTCTTCCCACTCTCCCCATCTTTCCTCTTGCTGTTAAAAGGCGCATCCCACAAGCAAAACTCCACTTGTGTGGTGCTCCTTTTGCTAAGAGAAAAGGTTTCAGCCTTAGTCGTTGTTTTTTCATTATAATAGTAATAGTTATTTTTGATATTTTGCCCTGGCTCTTCATCATCCAGAGTTGAAGATTGCTTACTACATCATAAAAATAACAATATAAGTACAACCAACTGACCAAAGTAAAGTGAGAAAAGTGCAGCAACTACTTGATGCAACTAGTAAGAGTAGACTGAGAGAACTTTTTGTTTGGCATTTAATTGACAGCAGTCATAGCTGAATTCTAAAATGGCTATTTCTATTTATTTCCATCTTTTCTTTAGTATCATCTTGTATGTAACTGTGAGGTTGCTGTTATAGGTATTAATGGAGGATCATTTACAAACTCATTCATTTTAATAGTTAATTGTTATATCAGAGTATTGTTATGGATTGTTATTGTTGGTTATTGGTTGTTAAAATATGTTACTTACCATGGATGTTTTATTGTTTTATATTTTATCGTATGTTATATATGTTTATGTTTTGTGTAATACAGGTAGTCCTTGATAAAACAATTGGGACCAGAATTTCCATCGCTAAGCTATGAGGTCATAAAGTGCAACTGCATTGATTAGTGATGGCAAACCCTGCAGTCCCGGTTGCAGTTGTTAACTGAATCCCATGGTTGTTAAGTGAGGCAACTTCCTG